GATGAACTTGAGACTCATCCCTGTGAGCTGCATCCCGGAGCCGAATCGAGGGGAGAAAGCAGGGAAACGAGGGCGATCAGGTGGTGGGACCGAGCCCCGGGCATGACTCGGCACATTGGCACATCGAGAGGACGCCACTCCGCGTCTCGCCGCTGCAGGGCGGAGTCTAATGCATTTGATGCTTTTTGGTGATGCTTGGCGCGCGGAGACTCCGCCGTCTGCCGCCTTTGGTGTTCGGGCGTCGGAGTCTGTCGTTTTGTTTGTTTTCCAAGTACCACAAAGGACGCCGCACAGAAGCATGTTTTGCGCCTCGTCGTCACATATTTCTGCGAGAAGATACATTTCCACATGAATTTGAACGGACACACCGCTAGCCTCCTCTTCGTCCGGAGTTGGGCGGAGGAATCCCCGCGCTCGCGTGGCCATGTTCGCCCACCCGCCCGTCATGCCGCCCATCTCCACGCGACCCGCCCTGCAACCACCGTCACCATGCCGATCGGATTTCATGACGCTGGTCAAAAGTCCATGTTTCCTCCCGGCTGGCTTTCACTCGATTGAGCCTCCTTTCTGCCTCCTCTCACTGTCTGGCCTGGAACGCCGTCTGCTCCTCTCCTCACCAAACGCACCATGGGCTCTCTCATCTGGGACGACGAGAACCGCTACGTCGGCAAGCAGCCGTATTGGAAGGATGCCGTTTTCTACCAGGTCTACCCCGCAAGTTTCAAAGACTCAAACGGCGATGGCTGGGGCGACCTCGAGGGGCTGATCTCCAAGGTCGACTACCTCAGCGACCTCGGCGTCGACGTCGTCTGGGTGTCGCCTATTTTTGCCAGTCCGCAGAAAGACATGGGGTACGACGTGTCGGATTATCAAGCCATTGAGTAAGTGTCGAAGAGGGCCTCTCTGAAATCCTCAGGATAGCTTACAGGTTCCAAGAGCCGCCTACGGCACAGTCGAAGACGTCGACACTTTGCTGCGCGAATGCCACAGCCGGGGCATGAAGGTGATCCTCGACCTCGTCGTCAACCACACGTCCAACGAGCACCAGTGGTTCAAAGACTCTCGGTCATCAAAATCCAACCCGAAACGAGACTGGTACATCTGGAAGCCCGCGCGGTACGACGCCGACGGGATCCGGCACCCACCCACAAACTGGCGAGGCTATTTCGCCGGCCCGACGTGGACCTGGGACGCCGAGACGGAGGAGTACTACCTCCACCTGTACGCGCCCGACCAGCCGGACCTCAACTGGGAGAACCAAGAGTGCCGCGAGGCGATTTACGAGAACACGATGCGCTTCTGGCTGGACCGCGGCGTCGACGGGTTCCGCATCGACACGGTCAACAAGTACTCGAAGCGGACGGACTACGTCGACGCGCCCGTCACGGACCCGACGAGCCCGCACCAGCCGGCGCCGGAGATGTGGTGCAACGGCCCCCGGATCCACGAGTTCATCCGCGAGATGAACGCCAAGGCGCTGGCGCCCTACAACGCCGTGTCGGTGGGCGAGCTGTCGCTGACGCCGCATCCGTCGCAGGTGCTCCCCTACGTGTCGGCGGCGGCGCGCGAGCTCGACATGGTGTTCGAGTTCTCCGTCATCCGGCTCGGCAACGGCAACGGCTTCGGCGGCAAATACCTCTACGACCCGTTCCCGCTGTCGCGGCTCAAGACGCTGACGGCGACGTGGCAGGCCTTCATCGAGGGCACCGACGCCTGGGCGACGGCGTTTTGCGAGAACCACGACAACGGGCGCGCCGTGTCGCGGTTCGGCGACGACGCCACGCCCGCGCTCTGGGCCGCGAGCGCCAAGACGATCGCCCTGTGGCAGGCCACCATGACGGGCACGCTGTTCCTGTACCAGGGCCAGGAGATTGGCATGACCAACATGCCGGCGGCGTGGGGCGTCGAGGAGTACAAGGACATTGAGAGCTCGAATTTCTACGCCGAGGCGTGTGCCTCGGGCGACGAGGACAAGGTGGCCAAGACGATGCACGGTCTGCGCATCATGGCGCGGGACCACGCGCGGATTCCCTTCCAGTGGGACGATTCGCCCCACGCCGGGTTCACGTCTGCCGAAGCGAAGCCCTGGATGAGGGTGCATGACGAGTACAAGAGGATCAACGCCGCGCAGCAGACGGCCGATCCCAACTCGATTCTCTCGTTCTACAGGCAGATGCTGAGGCTACGAAAGCACTACAAGGATGTGTTTGTGTTTGGGTCGCACAAGCTGCTCGAGCCAGAGGATGAAAAGGTGTGGAAATACGTCAAGCAGAGCCCGTATAACGAGCAGTGCCGGCGCGTGCTGGTCGTCATGAACTTTTCCAGAGAGGAGAGGCCAGTGGGCGATGTTGCTGCTGCTCTCGAGTGCGAGAAGGGAGACGTGCGGCTTCTCGTTGGCACGGCGGGCGTGGAGGAGAGCTCAGTTGGTAAGAGCGGCTGGCCAGCACTGGGTGTGTGGGAGTCAAGGATATACACAAACTTTGAGCTGTGAGCGAGAGTTTGAGCTGTGAGCGAGAGTTTGAGCTGTGAGCGAGACTAGCCTTCAACAAGAGTAAAGCTAGAGTGCTGTCGGGGATAGAGGCGTTAGGATGGGGTTGGTCTTTTCTGCATGGCAATCAGCCAGGTCAATCAACAGGCTCAGTTTTTTGTTCGAGAGACTAGGTAGTTTATCAATGCCGGCAGGTCGAGTTTCTAGGGATGCAGGTTTGTGAGGTGACTATCCCCATGCCATGTCCTACACGGATGAACCTGAAAGCCATGCCCACCCCCGTCTCAGTCCCACATGGTCTATCTGTGACTATTCCTAGAGACCCGAGCCAGCAGTTGACAAAAGCTAGAGACGCTGTAAGACCCCTCCCTGAACCACAAGATGGGCGCATCTAAGATGTCTTCAAACTTTTACAATTACTCAAAGCTATGTATTATGCTATGTTGTAGTTTGCTCAAAGATATGCTGCATATTGCACAATCCTGACTCCCTTGTTCTTAAGGTGATAACTTTCTGTGACCTTGGGATGGTAGTAGGCCTGCAACAGTACCTCGAGCTGCAAAGTCTTTTATCGTCTCAAGCACTTCTCGACCGCCTGCTAATAAGCCGAGGTAGGTAGGTACTCAACAAGTCCGAGCAACCACACCAGCTGGGACAAAGAGGTCATAAATGTCGCATCCACGCGCAGAATCATCCGGTTCGGTGGTGTAGTTGGTTATCACGTCAGTCTAACATCCATCCAAGCTGATCTAGAGGCTCACGCCTTGATGACGATCAGAGGAGTTCACTGAAGGTCGGGAGTTCGAGCCTCCCCTGAATCATTTTGACTGTCAAGTGTTGCATAAAGACGAAAACCGTCTGCCACTACTTTCTTTTTCATTTTTTTATTTCATTTCACTTTCTTATTTTATTTTATTTCACTTTCTTATTTTATTTTATTTCATTTTTTTATTCTATTTTGATTCAGTCGAGGCTGACTCAGCATCATGTGACCCCAGGTTACCCCAGATGTCGGCAATGCAACGTGATGCCACTGAATGGGGAAGGCTCAGCCAAAACACGCAACACCACACACAAACACATTCACACACGCACACACACACACATCTCGACAAGCCCTGCGGCCGTTGCACGATGCTGCTCGCCTCGTCAGCAGGTGACCATGAGTCATATCACAAGACAGTCCGACACCTCATTGTCCCCCGCCACATCCTCCTCGTCTCACCTGCGCCCTGAGAAGCGGCCCAGCGAAGACGACCCTCATGCTCATGATGCGACCGCCAAGGTAGCCAAGAGAGCCCAGGTCTCCCGCGCCTGTCAACGATGTCGGAATCTGCGCCGCGCCTGCAGCGACTACCGCCCGTGCAAGCGCTGCTCCGACCATGGCCTCGCCGACCAATGCCTCGGCATGCCGGGTCCCGTCCAGATCACCTGGGGCCCAGGACACATCGCCGGCGCCGGCGCCGCCGCTGCGACGAGCCCGCAGGCCTACGTCCTGCCGCCGGCGCAGGATTCGGTCCAACGGCTGGCTCACCTACTGCCAGTGACCGTCGTCAACTACTGCGCGAGGCGCTTCTTCGCCCGCCTGTACCCTACGATCCCCATCGTGACGGCCGAGTACATTGGTCGCCTCAAGGCCGCCGCCGCCAGCTCGACGCCTTCCGAGGTGGCCATGGAGGCCCAGCTCGTCCTCGCTGCCATGAGCGCTCTGGTCCTGCTCCAGGTCGAAGAGCCCGAGAGCCTGTTCAACGAGGGGCTCATCTCGGAGAAGAACTCGGCCTACGGCGAGCGCCTCTTTGACGAGGCCATCCTGGCGCACCGCAACTTTGCCCGAAAGTCGAATCCTTCGCTCGAGCTCTGCCTCCTGACCTTTCTCCTCTACGCCTGCCACGCCGCGCTGCTCCACCACAGCCAGGCGTTCCTCTTCCTGCGCGAGGCCAACACGCTGTGGCTGCTGCTGCGGCCGAGCGACGACGCCGAGGTCCGCGCCCTCGCCGACCGCCTCTTCTGGGTGCTCCTCATCTCGGAACGCTCGCACGCCGTGCGCTACCGCCGGCCCGTGACGCTGCAGATCACGCCCGAGACGCCGAGCCCGGGCCCCGACGACGACGCGTCCCTCGTCGGCTTCTGGTGCCTCGCTGCCCTCTTCCGGCCCCTCGACACGTCCTTCGTCGCGCTCCTCAACAAGGAGCAGGTGGCGTCGCCGCCCTCGCCGTCGGCGCTGCACCACGTCGAGCTCGCCGTCAACGCCGCCCTCAAGCCGACGCTGCGCCTGCAGGACACGCAAAAGGCCAACCTCCGCGTCACCCAGCTCTGGCTGCGCATCATCCTCTGGCAGCTGCGCCTGCGCTTCGGCCACCTCTCCGAAGACGCCCTCCAGGCCGGCCCCAGCTTCACCTTCCACTACCCGCTCGAGGTCGCCAAGGACCTGACCCTCTCGACGCGCGACCTGCCGCTCGACAGCATCAAGGTCCACGGCGTCGGCCTCACCGAGAAGCTGTTCGACATTGCCTCGTCCGTCGTCGACGTCCTCGCCCGCATCCCCATTGCGCCCTCGAGCCCCAGCGGCCTCGGCATCGGCATCGGCTCCGAGGACGACCTCAACTACATCCGCCGCCTCATCACCCAGCTGCCCGGCGGGCCCGACATTTACGACGCCCTGCTCGACAAGCACATCCAGCAGGCCGTGCCCGACATGGAGCTGGGCCGCGTCCAGAACCTGGCGGATTGAGCGCCGGGCCAGTTCTTGCAGCGGGAGGCGACGGCGGCAGCGTCCTGTTCGGCCGTTCGGCACGATACGACCCGTGGGCCATGAAGTGCCATGGTCAAGGACCCCGCCTGTTCGGTCCCTGCAGAAACGCCGTCCACCGCAGTGCTGCACCTCGAGACATGTCGAGCTGCACCTCGAGACATGATGAGCTGCGCCTCCCCTCATGACTGCCTCTCACGCCGAGGGCACGGGACCTTCTGTTACCGGGGCGTCAAACCAAGGATCGCATATGCAGCAGTTGGTGGACATGCAGGTTCGTCCCGCTCCAGCTCAGCGTTCTTGCTACCCCGTGTTGTTGCGTGCACGACTTGGGCGGCGATACGGATTCGTCGATAGCGAGGGTGCTGACTCACGAGTATTGCCAGGAATGAAGCCACCTCCATCCGTCGTCCACGTTCGCAGTCTTGTCGGGATTTCAATGTGAAGACGCAGTGTCTACATGAAGACTTTTGGGAACAAATCTCTACGAGCCAGAGCCTCGCACACTGCTGGACCGACTATAGTCAGGATTTACCACTGTCCTTCAAAGTATGGTGTCAGTCTGAATCGTACCAAGGCATTTGCATTACAGCCATGGTTCTCTTTGGGAGGATTGTTTCGTTTACTTCCCCAGTCCTCCACTGGAAAATCGCTTGGATGCATTGGGAAGGCCTGCAGCCCGCTGGTTGGGCATCCAGCTCGATTGCCGAGAGCGAGCACCTCAAAGCGCACATTCTAATCTCGCCTGTAGCGCATCCACATGGGCCGGGGAACAACTCCTACTCATGAACTCCAAGCCCTGCGAATCATGCCTCGACGAGACATGAGCTCACAGCATGAGCTCACAGCATTGAGTGCTTGGCCGGCCTGCCAGGCATACAGAGAGAGGTCCAAATGACCAGGAGCAGCTTGCATTCGAGACAGGAACTAGTGAGAGGTGGATTGGCTGCGCCAGGTGTACTACATGGCTGCGTCGACCTCGATGTATCTGATACACACGGCGCAGACTTCACATGATCACAAAGGGGACACCCAGACGTCCTGCCGTCCTGCAGCAGCACAACTTGCAGTAGGATGCCTCAATGTAGTCATGAATTCATCCCAGGCTCTCATGCCTCTGACGCCGGTGCAACACACAGCCAGGTAGCCGCCCTACTTTTGACGAATATTCTTGGGCTTCCGCTTCTTAAACACAACCGGGGCAGGCCCGCCTTGCGCACCCTCCTCCGTCTTGACGCCCGCGTCTGGTATCGCCGGCGCAGATTCTTTCCGAGGGTCAATGCCGCCCTCGCCCTCATCCGCGGGCTCCGCCTTGACGGCCGGGTCCTCGGTCTTCGTCTCGTGCGGCGCGCCCTCTTCTGTCTTGACTTGTCCCTCGACAGGCTCCTTCTTCGGCGGCGCAGGCAGTATCCCGCCACTCAACAGCGCGTCCAGCTCGGCGTCGTCCTGCGGCATGGCCCTCGTGCCGCCCCACGTCCGCTGCTTCTTGCACAACCCCCGCACAGCCTCCTCCTCCTCCTTCTGCTCGTCCGTGGCCTCCCGCTTCCGCACGCCCACAGCCTTGGCCTCCACCCCGGCGCCCGCCTCGCCCTCGGCGGGGGAAGCAGACACGACGCGCGTGTTCGTCACGGTCCACTCCCCCGGCATGGCCATGTCGCCTCTGACCTCGGTCGGCATGGCGATGCCCATCTCGGCCAGCTGCTCCCTCTGCCTCGCCAGCTGCGCGGCCGTCGCCTGGCCCGACGGCGCAGATGCAGACGCAGAGGCAGACGCAGAGGCCGAGCCCGGCGCGCCGCCGACGACGCCGTTGAGCCGGTCGACCTCGCGCCGCGCGCGCTCCCTGTCGCGCTCGTCGCGCTCGTGGCCGCGGTGGATATCGCGCAGCGACCGCTTCAGCGCGCCCTGGTGGCGGCCTGTCGCCTCGTGGTTCTGGCGCTCGAGCTTCGTGTCGCGGACGAAGACGCTGCAGTGCTTGCACCAGTATTTCGGCGTGGATTTCCAGTATTCGGACATGGCGGGCGGGCGGCAGGCAGCCTGCGTGCGATGCGGGGTGGGAGCGATGTGTCTGGGGTGTTTGGGTGTTTAGGTTCTGCCGTGGGAGAGGCTGCTCGGGAGGGGAGGTGGATTGGCAGCTTGGTTGCAGGAAGCTGGCTGGTGATGGCCGGCAGAATGAATTCGGGAGTTGCCATCACTTATCACTTGACCGCCTGCTCGGGGCGGCGTGATGACTAAACAGCCAGCTGATAAGCCGCTATCGCGATCCAGATCCAGCTCCCGTGAAATGCCAGCAGGAGGGTGACAAGGAAGCCCAAACAAGCCGTGATACTATGCTTTACACTGGCTTGAACTAAAAAGGTAGATTTTTCCTCGAATGGATTGCCGATGATCTGGTAAGCAGAATTCCGAGCATTGAGTTGAGCTGCCGTGTTGAGAGGGTTCCGACACTACCTACCTAAGCTATAGGGGCCTATCTGGATGATGGCTGTGTTCAGCGCATTTAGAGTGGCTTAACCTGCCACCCTTGAACGGCAAGCGGCAGAGACAGAGACAGCAGAGGGCTGACAAGGTACAGTGGGATGCCGGCACCCTAGCGCCGCCTCGATCTCGTCAACAACGCCAGCATCGTCTTCGCCCCGGCCGGCCTGACCAGCGACGGGTACCAAGAGCACTTTGGCACAAACGTCACGGGCCACTCCCTCCTGACGCGGCTGCTCCTTCGCGCCACGGCCAGCCCGGAGGCCGTCAGGGGTGGGTTCTGCCATGCCGTGGGCGTGCCTGGCAGAAGATCGCAAATGAGCCGCCGTGTCGAGATGAGAGAGCGCCTTTGGAGCTGGACCGAGAAGGAGCTTCGGCCGCACCTCTAGTTCTGTTGGGTTGAATCACATCCGACGACCGACGTGAACTGAGTTTGTCTTCGCTCTAGGCAGACCGTTTCCGCCCTGTATGCCACGATACCACCTCGAGCTCTATCGACTCGACCAGTAGCCATATCTCGTCACTGCGGATGACCTACTTTGACGAGTCAGGTACGGCCACTGTGCATGTTCTGCTTTCATGTCTTTAACCGGCATGTCTTGCATATCACAAGCCTGCTGCACTCACTAAGAATCGATTACTATAGCTAATTAGAAGTATCTAAGACTGTCCAAACATCCCATCCATCCGGCCTGGTCTGACTGCAATTTGTTCCGTCCTTGCGCCGACCGGGAGGCGCCGCTCCCTAGCTCAGCCATGACCTTGGCGTGAGCGATACCAATATGTTCAAGAAATTCCCTAGATATGCTGGTCATGGCAAATATTGTGCCCTTACAGCAGGAAGAAAGCACCCATGGCGCCGATGGCCAGGGCGGCGATCGAGCCGGGGATGACGCGACCGCTGCTGGCCTCGATGGGGCCAGACTCGACGGGGGGAGAAACGACCAAAGGCGTCGTGGTGTTGCTGGGGGGGACGGGGTACGACGTCTCGACGGGAGGGACGGGCACAGGGTGCGTGGTCTCGACCGGGGGAGCAGGGGGGGGCACGGGCTGCGTGTCGACGGGAGGCGCGGGAGGAGGAGCGGGGTGTGTCTCGACCGGAGGCGAAGGAGGGGGCACAGGGTATTCCGTCTCGACGGGGGGCGCCGGAGGCTCGCCCGTGGGAACCTGGATCTGGCCGTCCGAGATCTGGGTCACGGGGTGCTCGGGCTCCGGCGCGGGGTGAGTAGGCTCGACGGGCGCGGTGGGCTCGGGGTACACGGGCGGCTCCGCAGGCTTCGAGGGCTCAGTAGGAGGGTACTCGGGCTCGGCGGGCTTCGATGGCTCGGCAGGGGGGTGTTCAGGCTCGGCAGGCGTGCTGGGCTCGGGGTACACGGGCGGCTCCGCAGGCTTCGAAGGCTCGACAGGAGGGTACCCGGGCTCCGCAGGCTTCGAAGGCTCGACAGGAGGGTACACGGGCTCCGCAGGCTTCGAAGGCTCGGCAGGGGGGTGTTCAGGCTCGGCAGGCGTGCTGGGCACAGGCTGGGGCTCGGGAGCAGGGTAGGTGGGCTGCGTGGGAGGCTTGGGGGGCTCGCCGGTGGGGACCTGGAGCTGACCATCGTCGATCTGGGTGACGGGGTGGGAAGAAGGGGTCGCGGGCTCCGGCGCGGCACCGTAGTCGGCCTGCGCGAACCGCTTGGTCTTGCCGCAGGAGCGGACGTACAAGGCGACGGGGCTGCACTGCGGGGCCCAGTTGCGGTCGTAGAGGTTGGCAAAGCTGCCCGAGTTGCACTTGAAGAACGTCTTTTGGTCGCCAAGAGCGAGGAGGTTGTCGTCGCAGACGGCGAAGCCACTGGTGTAGATGGCATCAGGCTGGGCAGGGCCGTCAAACTGGAACTGGTAGTTGGCGACAATGGAGCCGGTACGGTCCTTGGAGTCGGTGAGGACACCGTCCTTGAGGTTCACAACCAGCGAGCCAGGCGCGCCGGCGCAAGAAGCAGCATCGCGGATCTACGACTTGTTAGACATGGGAGCATGGAGGGATGGAGCAGTTCTCATACCTCAAGGCGCTTGACCTCCTCGGGGGCAGCGACGACGCTGATCTCGAACGAGTCGGCATAGGTCGTGCTGCAGCCGGCAGGGGCCGATGCGGCCGGAGCCTTCTGTGACTGAGGAGCAGCCATGGCGGTGCCGACCATGGCGGCGAGAACGACGGGAGTGTTCTTCATGATGTGCTGTGTAGCGAATGTTTCAAAGTACCAAGTAACGACGGAAGGTAGACGTCTCAGGGCGTTCTACGTTTCAAGCGATAGTGATAGACGAACTGGAGCAGTTGAGAAGGAGCCTGATCAAGACGAAAGACGCAGACAGGGAGTCATTTTATGTTTCCGTGGCCTCTCACCAACTTCTGTTGTCAGGGGCTGGATCGGCAGCCCAGGTGGGTAGGGAGTCCAGGTGGCTAAGGTAGGGTGGGCAAGGGGTTGGGACCAACCCAAGAGTCGACGAATGACAGCCTCATCTCACGACAGCCAGAAGGACTGGGTTTTCCGATCTCGTCATCACCAAGGGGAGAGCAGATCCTAGCTCGTGCAAAAGCCCCTTCACTAAGCTACTAGAGCTGGCTGGACTGATGGCTGGGATGGTTGGCCGGGCAGTCATGGTCATGGTGGTTGGGGGGGATGACCGACCATGTTGGAAAGGACCGATGGACGGACTTTGACGTCAAGAGACAGCTGGCCTCGAAGTTCCGGATGGCAAGTGGTTGATCGACTCTGCGTGGTTTGGAAGAAGTATCCGCCAGGCGGAGCATGGCTTGTTTGACGTTGAGGTGTGTCCGGCCGTCAGGGGGGGAGGTGGCGGGGCGTAGGCCGCCGTCGAACCCCGAACTAGCCATCCACTTGGGAGCCGCCATCTGTGATCTCGAAAGCCTTCTGTCGTTGCACGAGGGGCCTAGCATGCGTTAGCGTGCATCTAGGGAAGCCTCTGGATTTGCCAGGAAAGTGTTGCGGAGGTTGGGTGGCACAGCAGGCGATCTGCTGCTGCATACAGCGCCAGTCATTCAACCCAATCGCACCCATCAGCCGGACTCATCTCAGCCATCTGGTTTATCGCAGGTGCCAGGGAGGAGATGGGAGGCTTAGCACAAAGGTAACTTTGGACTCGTCGCACGACGCCAGTGGTACCGTCCATCCATTCAAGGCTGGGTAGCAAGACACCAACCCCTAGCCTGAAAGCCTGGCAAAAGTCCACATCAGCACCAGTTCAGAGGTGCTCAAAAGCACCGGGGAGGCCGATCGTAGTACTTGAAAGGCCCTCGAAACACGGAAAACAAACATGCAGAAGAAAGCAGGCGGAAGGCTGTGTCCAGCTGTGTTTCTTTGTTGTCCAACTGGAACAAACGTCTGCCAATCCCGTCACCCGTCGGCTCGACAGGGGTTGAACTGCGGGAAGCAGGGGGGCGACCGCGGAGGCCAAGAGATCGCCCAGGAACTCCCCCCTATCGCTGATCGGCTTCGCTGGCGAGCAAGCTTCTCTTGCGCACGCTAGCAAAGAGCCGGCGCCTGGCGTGGCTGTTTGCGGTTGAGGGTTGCTGGGGGCTTCCCCGCACAATGGACCTGTCAGAGTGCACGAAGGCAAGGGGCCCCGGCAACCGGAGTCGAGTGCTTCGAGATGTCTGGATGCTCGTCGAAGAGGATTGCGCGGCCAGTGTTTCGCGGAAGAAGATCGGTCGAGGGGCTTTCGGTTCATGGAGGGTCTGGACAAGGGCAGCGCCAGGCCCCGAGTGGGAGTGATTGGGTGTCCTTGGTTGAGGTGTCCGAGCAACGGGTCCCGATCGACGCCATGAAGTCGTGATGATTATCGCAGCCTGAATAAAGATGGAAGTGGTTATATTCGGATGGTTGATCAATGGAGTTCCGACGTAACAGTTGGCTCACTTGATGTCACTTTTCTTTGCGCAAGGAATCATCTTCCTGGCAGGTATATGGTAGCCAGAGTTTTCACGAGTGCATGGTTGCTACCTTACATAATCGTGGGCCTGCTCGATTCGACTTGCCTGCAGCCTGGCGTCGACGCACACCGGACCCATCGCCATCCAGAGCCAGCGTGTGATGGCGCGACGAACCGTCCAACAGAACCGAGTCCCAACTAGTTTCCTCACCATGAGCCCCCGAGGTCGGATCATTCAGCGAATCCAGAGAATGGGGCAGTAGAGGGCCGACCAACCAGCAACGCAAGCACTCGTTCGGCATGTCATCTGCGGTCACCGGCTCCTCCGGCGGAGAACATTGATATGCCCAGGAAGAGAGCACAGCATCCGACAACCGGGCCTGCCACTGCCGATACATCAGAGCCGAGCTTTCGCAGGATGATGGTCAGGCCGCGATCCTGCTGGAGGCTACCAGGGAGGCAAGACTTGGTCCTGCCACGGAGCGGGGCCCAAGGATATAGCGAGGTAGATGGCAGGGCATTGAGGTGAATCGCCTTGAGCGCAACCCTTGACTAGGGAGGTTACTGCCAGGGTAAACATTTGATGTTGACCAGTTTCTTCCGGGAACCGA